ACTTTTTTTTTTTTTTCATTTTTGATAGAGTAGTAGTGGTTTTGGTGGTGGTGGGGGGGGGGTGTGTAAAAACTTGTAACCAAGTGGAAGGCCAGCTCCAACTTATGTTTGAGATAGGAAACAACACCTTGGGGGTCACTGGACTCTTCCTGGTTGCAAAAGGTCTCTGGCTTACTCACGAACCAAGGGATCCCTTGTCCCAATTAACCCTTTCATTGTAATCTATAGCACTCATTTAATCTTTTCCTACAACAGAGCAGACACCAGGCATACCAAACCTTGCTGCAAGAGCCAATTCAGATTCTAATATTCATTGTTCCACTTTACATTTCCATCACACAATAAACTAATATCCAGTCAGATTAATTTAAATAAAACCCAGTATTGACTCCCACAAGTGCCAATGAACATTAAGAAAGAAAATTATCAACACTTGCAATGTTCTCCAATAAAGAGACTATATAAATCTGTTTTTAGATGGGAAGGCTATTTTCCTTTTAACTGTCCTGCCATTCAATTAGTTCCTAGTATTATGTTTACATTAAAGTCTCCCTGTTTCTCCCATTGCCATAAATACTTAGTCATTGATGCAGCATGAATTCTGGACCATTATGACAGGGGATACATAAATGCATTTCTACAGGACACACTTCCCTAATTAGCTCCTCCCACTTGATCTGATATAGCCTATCACTCAGGAGCCTATGGGGTGGATTTACTAAAGGCAAATAAATTGTGCAGTTGCACTTGAATGCCCCTGAGCTTAGAGAATGTGGTGAAGGTTGGAGATTTCCATCATCCACTCACGTGCAAGCAAAAAAACTGTTTTTTTTCTTGCACATTATTGGATATTTTTTATAAAGTGAAGCTTCATCACCTTCACTTAAGTCTGGATAAAATGAGTGCAACAACACTTGCAAAGTGTACAGTCTATTTGCCTTTAGTAAATGAACCAATAAGTATCAGATTTGTTGCATGAAACACAGGCAGAAATAACTCCTAAGGGAACTTACCACCCCACTACAAACTGCTGACAGTTTATTTCCATCTATGTCATATCAGGGAGATTTTCTATTACTTCTTTAACAGGAGGTGAGATGAAATGTTAACAATGAGAAGGAGATCAACATTTAAATAGTTGTAACAAGAACAAGTGTCCCCATCTGTGGAAAATCAAAAATTTGGATTTACCCTTTCTTTCTTTCCTGGTGATACTGGTGATCAGGGCAATTGGAGAGAATGCCCTGCAAATCTAAATCTAGAAAAAGGTTTTGCCTAGAGTTTTACTGTAAGCCTATTATCCAAATCCTGCCATTGTAACAAGGGAACAAAATAAATATAAATCTGCATATTTAGGCCTATTTCAATTTACAGTAAGCATTTTTTAGCATATTATAAAAACACAAATATTTGTTAGACGTTAGACTCATGTTGCTGCCCTAATATATTTCCAGGATCCTGTGAGGTTAATGGAGATCCTCACTACTACACCTTTGACAATCAGGTGCACCATTTTATGGGCACTTGCACCTATACATTATCTAAACTCTGTGAAGTTGATGGACACCTGACAGATTTCAATGTAGAAGCAGCCAATGAGCACAGAGGAGGCAACACCAGGGTGTCATATGTCAAGTATGTTAACATCGATGTACATGGTTACAGAATCACACTAGAGAAGAACAAAGAAGTGAAGGTCAGTCTAACAAATTTTCTGTAAATATATTTGTGTCCATTGCTACACTGAATCTTGTTGTAATTTCTTTTACATCATCAAATTATGTCATAAATGTGTGCCTACAGGTGGATGGAAAAGTTGTACTCTTACCCACTACCCTACATCCTGGTGTTAATATCTTCCTTAGTGGACATGATGTTGTAGTTACAACAGCATTTGGAGTAAGTGTGCGATTCGATGGAAACCATAGAGTGGTGGTGACCATTCCAGGAGAATATGTAAACAAAGTATGTGGAATCTGTGGAAATTTTAATGGAAACAAGACTGATGACTTCCTAAACCCAGATGGTGAATTAGAGCCAGACTCTAACAGTCTTGGTAACAGTTGGCAGGTTGACAATGACACCAGGTAGGTTATTCCTTAAATCCAAAAAAGAAATAGAATAATTTAAAAAATGGGTTTATTTGGTTATACAAAAGTTAATAATAATTTCAATGTCTTTAGATTTTAGAAGACAGGATTATCCATAAAGAGACACACAGATACAGTGAATAAATAAAAATATTTTTAGTTATGAATACTTAATTAGAATTTAAAGTCCAATTGAACTTTCATCTTAAACTAGCTAAATGCCTTCCAAACACATAAAAACAAAAGGTGTGCAAAATACTGCAGTTTGTCTTCTTGATGACCCCCAAGCCCCTGATCAGCAGTAAATCTTTAGCTAGTCAGCAAATCGGCCTCTAGTGGCTCTGATGTTTGACTGCCAAGGGTCACTGCTGTCATTTTCCCCTACTGCTGTGGCTGAGGAAGAAACTCATGGAGCACAATCTACACTCCATTAGCTGAGACATTAGGAGTCTAAAACATAGGTGGCATACCATTAAAGAGAACCTGTTATGCCAAAATAATATCACATAGGGACTTATTGTCCCCTACATAATAAAAAGTTTAGTGTAAAAAAAGTATAAAAAAATTAAGATACACCTAAGCACCTAAACTCCCCAAAACAACAAATTTAAGCCCCCACCCCCGCATTCACACACAGAAACACATACATTGGGGGGTACCTGTGCAAGAAAATGACGATTGCAGGACACATGGTTCATGTCACCATGCTCACTGAAGTAAAAGCAACAATTTTAGGCTTGCTTTTTTATGGTTATCTAACCTAATGTTTTTGTGAAAAATTTAGGTTGTCAAAGTCTGTTACCATTTCAAGGGCACACACAATATTAAGGCTTGACATGTTGAGTATATATTTACTAGGCATAACCTCATATTTTATATTTTGCAAAACAAAATGGGCAATAGATTGCATTTTTACCCTAAAATTAACATTAGTGTATTTTTACAGAAATTGTGCACCATTTCACTGATATTGTGTGACATAAAAATTGAAACTACAATTTTTTTTTATTCTCCAGATTTGCTTTCAGAAAATATATAATTTTTAAACAATCTTCAGGCTTAAAATGATTTTTTAAATAGGTGTGCTAAATATGCAAAACAACTGCTCTGTCAGCAAAAGGGTTAAAGATTTGGGCTTTGAAAACATTTAAAAAGGACCCCCCTATCAAATGCTCCCTAAAATATACCGGTACATGCTGTATATTTGGCACAGGTCTTAGTAAAGAAAATATTACTTTGTCAGATGTCATCTTACAATTCATATTAATCCCTGAATTAGGATGTCATTTTAGAATGAAGTGGAACATTAATTACTTCATAACTTAAGCAACAATGTTTCATATATAAGTAATAGCATGATACATAAATACGATACGTAAATATGATACGTAAACCTGCTACACAAACCAATTCAATCATTCTATCTTGAAGATGCACTCCAGGAGAGGTTTATCCACCAGGCTGTACAGATGATGAGAAGGACATCATCAACAGCAACAGCTTCTGTGGAATAATTACCAACAAGGATGGACCATTTAAAGACTGTCATGGTGTTATAGATCCATCTATCTACTTCAATAACTGTGTCTATGATTTGTGTGAACTGAACCTGGATCCAGGTGCCTTGTGTGACAGTCTTCAGTCCTATGCACAGTCCTGCCAGTCTCATGGAGTAACAATAGGTCCCTGGAGGAATGACTCTTTCTGCCGTAAGTACAGGAGAATAATATTAAAGTAACATTATTGTGTCTTCAACCCTGCTTTTTCTTAAATATCATCTGATTTTTATCTATCCTCATACAAAGCTTAGTGGATGTACAGTACAATTATAATAAATGGCAAGCACACCCATAGATACAATAATGCCATTTATTTGAATAAAGTCAAAACAGCATTCCTGACAAAGATCATTAGTATGTTTATATCACATAGCAAATGCAGTATGAAAATGTGGCTCAATATACAAAAAAGCTTCAACATTTATGTAATATACAAAAACATTGTGAAAGAGAACAACAAGGTTACCAATAGCATAAGAGTCAGATGGGAAATAAGATTCAGAAACCCATGAGCCACATTATTGCATACCGCATTTGCTATGTAATGTTAAATATTATAAATCTTTATCAGAAATGCTTTTTTGGCTTTATTATAAAAAGTGCACTATTGTATGTATGGGCTGCTTATTCTTTATTATAATTGTGCTATATTTTGGAGTGAGGGTGGCATCCTTTATAAACTGTGTAAATGTATGATGTGCAAGGGAGAAACTTACTGTTTCTAGATCAGTGAATGTAGCGTTAGATGTACCAAGAAGAGATCTTAAATGTCTTGTACAGGTTAGCAGTGATTTGCAAATCAGTATAATGATGGTTCCCTGAAGAATGGTCTTTAAAAACAGAAAATGATAACTAGATTGTTCTATCAAAATTAGTTATGGCAAATATAAGTAATTTTGATGCCCTTCAATTTATCATTTACATATTGTTTACAGCTCTGAAGTGCCCATCAAACAGTCACTATGAGCAATGTGGAACAGCCTGTCCAGCTACATGTGTCAATCCAGGATCACCATCCAACTGCAATCGTCCTTGCACTGAAGGGTGTGTATGTGACCCTGGATATGTCCTTTATGATAAAAAGTGTGTGCCAAGTAGCCAGTGTGGATGCTGGGAAGATGATAAGCATTACCCTGTAGGCTCTGAGTTCTGGACTGATGATACATGCTCCACTAAATGCAGCTGTCCTTCTTCTGGTGGTAGCTTAGTGTGCAAACCTGAAATCTGTCCACCTGGAAAATACTGTGGCATAAAGGATGGAGTTCCTGGCTGCTATGAACTCACATTTGGCAACTGTGTAATCTATGGGGATCCTCATTACAACACCTTTGATAAGGAAACACACCACTTCATGGGAATATGCACTTACACACTCTCCAAAGTGTGCAGCAATTATACCACTTTGCCATATTTTAACATCGAAGCAAAGAACGAGCACCGTAATGGGAATCCAACAGTGTCTTGGGTGCAGAAAGTTATGGTTGAAGTATATGATCATAAAATAACTATTGTTAAAAATGAGCCCAGTCGAATTTTGGTAAGTTTCAGAGAAAATATATTTTCATGTAATTGTATTTTCAGAGTTTTTATGCATTGACTTTAGAAATATTAAGCTCAAATATTATTTCTTATCAGGTGGATGGTATCTGGACAAATCTTCCAGTCATCTTGGTCAATGGATCTCTGACCGTTAAACAAAGTGGTCGATATGTCATTCTAGAAACTGATTTCCACCTCACAGTATCTTATGACACTGACCATACAGTGGATGTTAAGGTTCCAACTTCTTATTTCAATCAGACCTGTGGAATGTGTGGCAACTTAAATGGCATTAGGCAGGATGACTATTTGATGCCTAATGGACAGTTGGCTCAGAACTCCAATCAACTGGGAGATAGCTGGCAGGTTGAAGATGATGATCCATTATGTAACACAATTTCTCCTACACCTCCACCACCATGTCCACCAGAGACAGAGGAACTTTATTCAGGCGATAAGTTCTGTGGTTTGTTAAACAGCAAAGATGGTCCTTTCAAGGCTTGCCACTCAGTAATCAACCCAGAGCGCTTTTTTGACAGCTGTGTATTTGATCTGTGTGCACTTGGGGACAGCATTTTATGTAAAGCACTGGAAGCTTATGCTGATGCCTGTCAAAGAGCAGGAGTCACCATCACCTGGAGAAACTCTACTTTCTGCTGTAAGTTTAAAGCTTTGCAAAAATTCCTTAAGCAATAAATGTATTATAAAAAAATTGAAGTAATAGCATGGTATTATTATCTTAACATTCTGGTGCCAACAGTAATGATTGCACATGCTAATAAACTGAAATTTTTTTTTTTTTAATGGAATCTTTGTAGAAAAGTGAATGTGTGCAAAAAACAAATATAATGTTGCAGTTTTAATTCAGCAATATTTTTTTTTATCTCCAGCTATCTCATGTCCTGGGAACAGTCACTACAATCCGTGTGCCAGTGCTTGCCCAGCCACATGCCTGGACCAGAGTGCACCAAATAACTGCAATAAGCCTTGTACTGATGCTTGTGAATGTGATGATGACTTTGTGCTCAGTGGACACGCTTGTGTTCCTGTCAGTGAATGTGGATGTTTTTATGATGGCAAATACTATCAGGTCAGCACTGCCATATGTCATTTTTCTCTTTTTCCTGTATAATATACATAGCAAACATGCAAATAGTGAATGTAATGATACAATATTTACTTCTAAACTAGGATAGGAAAAGAAATAGAAAATTATTGTCATAACTGTTGCGTTTGGAAAAAAAACATTTGCATTGTGCTAAATATTTAACTGCTCATTGTATGGATTTTTACTTAAATCAGATTAATTAATTTTCTTCTTATCCACATATTTACAGAAAGATGAGTCATTTTGGCAAGGGGAATGTGAAAGTTATTGCACATGTGAGGGAAACAGCCAAGTGAGCTGTAAACAGCAGACCTGTCTACCTAATGAAGTTTGCCAAGTCCAGAATGGAATTAAGACATGTGTGCCAAAAGTGACAAGCACCACCACAACTACAACAACCACCACCACCACTACCACAACCACTACTACTCCTTCATCTACTGTTCCAGGTAAATTTCTTTTAACAGGGAAACGATTAAAACAATTTAAAAAGGATTTATGCAGAATGAGTATTTTTGACTACTATACTACTACTACTACTACAATAGTTTCCTGTTGTTAGGACAGTGATATTTAGTTTAGCTCTGACTTTAAAAAGACAACTGTGGATTATACTGTACATTGATAGAGTAATCTGCCATTGATTGATACAGTATATCTGAAGAAGTGTAAGAAAGGACTACAAAGTAAATGGCTCAAATGTGGCTTTTATACTATTTAAAGATCTATATCACATAGGAAAACAAGAATATTGTACAAATGACCACTGCTATTGGAATAGTATGCATTAAAATGATATCCAGAACTGGTTAAAATATACGTGAACACTTACCTTGTAAAAGAACCCATATATATATATTAGGGACGCGCCAAAAATTTGGTGGCCAAAACGATTTGGCCGAAAACACTCTATCGGCTGTAGGCTAATATGAAAAAAAAAAGCACCCATACAGGTACCGAAAAAAAACTCGCCCCTCGCCACCGCTCGGTAGTTCTCAGCCTTGCCTGAGAAACCATCGAATGATCCCGGTGCTGGGCATAGAGATTGATGAAGGAAAAACGCCTCCACTCATCTCTATGCCCTTGGAGGACCGGAACGATGTCACTTCCAGTTCCGGACAATTTTTTTTTTTTTAAAGCACTAGAGCAATGCTTTTTTTGATCTAATGCTTTACATTGCAGAGAGATGTGGGGTCTTATTGACCCCATATCTCTCCGTAAAGAGGACCTGTCACTAATTATTTCTATTACAAGGGATGCATGCATTCCTTGTGATAAAAATAAAAGTGATAAAAAAATTTTTTTTAAAGGGACCATGCCAACAAAAACCCATTAAATAAATTAAAAAAAAAAAGTTTAACATGCCCCCGTCCCCCATGCTTGCACGTAGTGGTGAACACAGACGTAGGCCATGCCCATTTTTGTAAATGGTGTTCAAACCACACTTGTGAGGTATCGTCACGAACTTCAGAGCAAGAGCAATATTTCTTGCACTAAATCTCCTCTGTATCTTTACACTGGTAACCTGTACTAATTTTTAAAGCAGTTTCACGCCATTCCACGAGTGTACGCAATTTTAAAGCGTGACATGTTGGCTATCTATTTACTTACCGTAACAAATTGGGGCGTGTGTGTATATATATATATATATATATATATATATATATACACTCACTGGCCACTTTATTAGATACACTAGTACCAAGTTGAACCTCCTTTTGCCTTCAGAACTGCCTTAATTCTTGATGACATAGATTCAGCAATGTGTTGGAAATGGGTGGACTGACCATTTGGAAACTTGGGTACTGCCCGAGGGCCCTGGGTCAGAAGGGGGCCCCATGAGATGCCCCTGGTACCTTTTTCATAGGCTTTTTTGAGTTTGGGCAAGGACACAGGGGCCCCATGATCCCCTATTGCTCGGGGGCCCCATGAGTTGTCAGTCCGCCCTGGTTGGAAACATTCCTTTTTTGAGATTTTTGGTCCATATTGACATGAGTTACTGTTGTCTTTCCATCATCTCAAACCAGTTTGCCCATTTTTCTCTGACCTCTGACATCAATAAGGCATTTTCATCCACACAACTGTAGCTCACTGGATATCCTCTCTTTTTTTTTTTGGACCATTCTCTGTAAACCCTAGAGATGGTTGTGTATGAAAATACCAGTAAATCAGCAGTTTTTGAAATACTTAGACCAGCCGTCTGACACCAGCAACTATGCCACAATCAAAGTCACTTAAATCCCCTTTCTTCCCCATTCTGATGCTCGGTTTGAACTTCAGCAAGTTGTCTTCATCACATCTAGATGCCTAAATGCATTGAGTAGCTGCCACATGATTGGCCGATTAGCAATTTGCTATGGAACAGGTGCACCTAATAAAGTGGCCGGTGAGTGTATGTGTGTATGTATGTATTTATATATAAATATATATATACTGTGGGGATCGAAAGTTTGGGCACCCCAGCTAAAAATTTGTATTAATGTGCATAAAGAAGCCAAGGAAAGATGGAAAAATCTCCAAAAGGCATCAAATTACAGATTAGACATTCTTATAATATGTCAACAAAAGTTAGATTTTATTTCCATCATTTACACTTTCAAAATAACAGAAAACAAAAAAATAGCGTCTGCAAAAGTTTGGGCACCCTGCAGAATTTATAGCATGCACTGCCCCCTTTGCAAAGCTGAGACCTGCCAGTGTCATGGATTGTTCTCAATCATCATCTGGGAAGACCAGGTGATGTCAATCTCAAAGGTTTTAAATGCCCAGACTCATCTGACCTTGCCCAACAATCAGCACCATGGGTTCTTCTAAGCAGTTGTCTAGAAAACTGAAACTGAAAATAGTTGACGCTCACAAAGCCGGAGAAGGCTATAAGAAGATTGCAAAGCAGTTTCAGATGTCAATATCCTCTGTTCGGAATGAAATTAAGAAATGGCAGTCATCAGGAACAGTGGAAGTTAAAGCAACATCTGGAAGACCAAGAAAAATATCAGACAGAACAGCTCACAGGATTGTGAGAAAAACAATTTAAAACCCACGTTTGACTGCACGATCCCTCCAGAAAGATCTAGCAGACACTGGAGTTGTGGTACACTATTCCACTATAAAGAGATACTTGTACAAATATGGTCTTCATGGAAGAGTCATCAGAAGAAAACCTCTTCTACGTCCTCACCACAAAAATCATCGTTTGAACTTTGCAAATGAACATATAGACAAGCCTGATGCATTTTGGAAACAAGTTCTGTGGACCGATGAGGTTAAAATTGAACTTTTTGGCCGGAATGAGCAAAGGTACGTTTGGAGAAGAAGGGGCACAGAATTTAATGAAAAGAACCTCTGTCCAACTGTTAAGCATGGGGTTGGATCAATCATGCTTTGGGGTTGTGTTGCAGCCAGTGGCACAGAGAATATCTCACGAGTAGAAGTAAAAATGGATTCAATAAAATTTCAGCAAATTTTGGATGGTAACTTGATGCCATCTGTGAAAAAGCTGAAGTTAAAGAGAGGGATGGCTTCTACAGATGGATAATGATCCTAAACACACCTCGAAATCCACGGGGGATTACATCAAGAGGCGTAAACTGAAGGTTTTGCCATGGCCTTCACAATCTACTGACCTCAACATAATTGAAAATCTATGGATAGACCTTAAAAGAGCAGTGCGTGACAGACAGCCCAGAAATCTCAAAGAACTGGGAGACTTTTGTAAGGAAGAATGGGCAAAGATATCTCAAACAAGCATTGAAAGACTCTTGGCTGGCTACAAAAAGCGTTTACAAGCTGTGATACTTGCCAAAGGGGGCAGTACAAGATATTAACTCTGCAGGGTTCCCAAACTTTTGCAGACGCCATTTTTTTGTTTTCTGTTATTTTGAAAGTGTAAATGATGGAAATATAATCTAAATTTTGTTGACATATTAGAAGAATGTCTAATCTGTAATTTGATGCCTTTTGGAGATTTTTCCATCTTTCCTTGGCTACTTTATGCACATTAATACAAATTTTTAGCTGAGGTGCCCACACTTTCGATCCCCACTATATATATGTACAATATGTGACCTTTGTTCGCAGCTGCAGCTGCATAAGCTGCTTAGAGATGTGAGGGTGAAGACTGCAGGGGGGCGTGTCAGCAGGAAGCAGAGAAAGAGCAGTAGACTGATCTTCTGAATGATTAGCTGTGCAGGGTAAGGAGGGGGGTGTAGTCACAAGTCTGACTTCTGGAGCTAAAAATACAGTTAAATTACAGATAAATGCTCATATGCTTATATGTAAATATTTCTGATCCTGTTCAGTCAGTTTTGTGTACATGCACAATGTATAGCTAAGAGGGTAACAACAGTTTCTCAGTTACAGTTGTGAAACACAGTAGCATGACCTCAGTATCCCAGCCTACCAACAATAATGGATCAGCAGCAACTCAGTCACCTCTATGCTTATTACTCCCTGTTAGCATGTTCCCTGTGTCAGACTGAATTAGCTCTGAATGGCTAGCTGTTCCTTCCTCTATCATTATGGGTGATGCTGTATAGGGGATTGCCTTAAACTGATATAAAGACAAATCAAGATATTTAGCAAATCTATAAAAAAATAATATTTTATGGAATGAATAGCTGCTTTAAATGGTGCTTATGAAATCTGCCTGGAGTTCAGCTTTAATGCTTGTGTGTACATTATACAATATGCACCATGTAACTCCTAATTGTTAATTGTGTTTTCTAAAACAGATTTATGCCGTATTGATTGTTCTTTTGATGTCAACTTGTGTAACTGGAAACAATCAACTACTGATAACATGGACTGGAAAAAAAAAAAAAAAAAAAAAAAAAAAGGGTACGCTGGAGTGGTGAAACTCCTACATTACATACTGGACCATCCCATGACCACACAACAGGATGTAAGTATTTTTTTTACTTACCTTGTCTGTTTTCTGTCATTTAAAAAAACTCCTAAAATTGATATTAATAAAAAAATGTATATTTTGTATTTAAACAGATGGATACTATCTTTACATTGATGGACAGGATTCAGAAGAAGGAGACTTTGCAAGACTTGAGAGCCCTGCCAATTGTTTCACTGAAACCCATTGCTTACGATTTTGGTATCACATGTATGGAGCAGCAGAATACATGATGTTGAGGGTGGGAGTACTAAGAGATGATGGTTTGGAATTTGTCACCACTATAGAAGGAAACCATGGGGACATGTGGTATTTAGAGAAGATTTTCTTGCCTGAAAGTGACATTATCCAGGTATGCGATGTATTTTTTTTACCAAATCCATTTTTATCAAAACTAGTAAAAATTGGTCTGATCCCTCCTTGTGTGCCATTGTGATTTTTTTGGTCATCACACTCTTTCCCCTAGAATAATATAAACCTAGTTGTGGTCATTAACTTTAACCTTATCAAATTTGTCAACAGATTTTCATTGATGGTTTCAGAGGTGAAGATTACCGCAGTGATGTTGCTATAGATGACATTTCTCTTTTCCCAGGATATTGTACTGGTAAGCTGTGATCCATCCATTACAGGCAGTTTACTTGGTCTTTCCTAGTCTTAAAATAATATTTAATAAAGGCTGAACTTTACAATTTCATACAATTAAATTATTGCCACAGTGGAAGATGGGAAGGGCTTATAGTTAGTTTGTTCATTCATTCATTCATAGATCTCTGTAAAGCCCCATACAGCTGCATTGATTGCAAAAGTGACACCAGCACCAGTTTCAGGCTGGGGGATCAGCTTGCAACCATGTGACATGATACAACCTAAATATGGGTGTAACATGGTTTAAAAGGGGAAGCTAGCCCTTAAATATTTCGTAGGAAAGCCTAGATTGTACTATAAAGTATATTTCAACACAATGGTTAATATTGGGCTAACATTTTGTCTTTTTAGATACAGCCACTACCACCACCACCACTGCAACCACAAAACCACCAGGTAAATACATGAAGCAATTTCCGTAGTCTAAAGCTGCCAACACACTGGTCGAATTTTGTATGAAAGTTTCCATTTTAAGAATGTTCATTTGATTTTCTAATCGTTAGTGGGGGCAAATCGACATCGACAATGAAGAGAAAATTGGAAGGAGCAGGATAGAATTTTTTTTTCTTGAATAAATGCGTTTCTAAGAGTGACTAGGTTTATCATGTCAATGAATGTAATGATGCAATTTTTGTGTGCAAAATTGCATATGAATGTTCATTCAAAAATCGACTAGTGTATGGACAGCTTTGCACACCAAGTAAAATTTTCATTACACATCTATTTGCTTACCATGAAAACATGGAATATTTTTCAAGAATAAGCTGTTCTTCCCTTGGTGGTTAATAAATGTAAATGATGGATCTGGATTTGTATGAACCAGATTGGGTCTTTATTTGTATGAACCAGATCACAACAGACCTTTCTACATGAGAAGACATTAGGCTATGACTGAATCTGTATAAACCTAAAATGTACAGAAAAGTAAAGTGTATGAAATAGTTTAAAAGTTTACTTCTGACAAACACTCAGAATCCTTTCTTCATCTGCGAACCTGGTCTATTAACAAAACGTTCCACCTTTTGTGAAATTTGCTCAGTCTAGATTGAGCAATATCCTACAGTATGTGCTAATACAGTACCAGGCTGGCTATCTACTTCTGGGTTTCTGGCTGTAAAATGTGTTGGATGGTGTACATGTTATCCATCTCCTGGACATTATTATAGTATTTGTATGTGGGTCAAAAAGTGTTCGCTGCTCATTCCCATGGAGAGTTCTGAGCAGGGAATCTTTGCCTTCTCTATATGGATAAGGCTGTACACTGTGGTGATTACAGAAGGTACTGTAGATGAGTAACTCCAGCTGACACATTTTATGCTACAATGACCTGAAGATAAGTAAGCCTTGCTTGTTTTTCTTACCCTTTATAGATATGGTGTTTTAGATAGCAAAACAACA